TTTTGATCTCTCGAGTCTAGTTCTTAGGGCTTGGTTCGAGTTGTTCGGTTCACTCCAGCAGTGGACGAGGAAATCCCCTCTGCTTTCTCGCTTTTAGCTTCGGTGAGGTGGATGTTTTGTGGGTTAGTAAGTTGTAATTTGTAGAGTGATTGGGGAGCTATAGGTTGCTGGGAAGTTTAGAGAACTGCCGTGACTCCTGTCTGTGTAGTTTCCTGAAAGAGAATAGGAATGAAGAGAGAATAAAAAAAGAGAGGAAAAAATCATAATATAGGGAAGAGGAGAGAGAAGGAGAAGAAAAGGAGGGGTGAAAAGAGAAATGAGAACGAGAGAAAAGTGTATGGGAATCGCGCGAATGGTCGCATAGGTTTGGTTCCTACAGAAGAATTAGTAGGTAATGTGGGTGTACTAAGGAGGGAGATAGTGATTGGTAGTTAGGGGGAGTCGGGGGGTAATGAGGTTGGTGACTACCTGAGTATGCCCGTGGTAGTCCATGCGAGGTGGCATACCGTCTAATCATCTCTTGAATGAGTCAACTGAAGGAGCTATAACGATGTGTCACGGTAGGGCATTCCATAAAGCACATACTCTTAGGGAGAAAAATTTGGACCTGAGTATGGTGTTGGCTCTCTGGTGTGCCATCTTAATGTGGTTTCCTCGTGAAGATCATTGGGTTGCAGGCAAAACTGATTTGTTTGCAAAGAATGAAAAACAAGAGGACGATGAAAAGTAAACCAGAGAGTTCTGTGATTACTTTAATATGACTATGAGATAAAACTCTGCTCGAAACATCATGAGCAGGTAATAATGTTTCACTGAATGATCCAAATCTAAAAGCACTGTATTGAAAATATATCCCAACACAGAGCTCAAATTTTATTATCATATTAGTTTGGGTACAAGCCGGTAATATAAGGAAATAAAAAATCGCAACCTAGGCTACTACAGCTCTGAGTAGAGCAGATCTCAACCTCCTATGCACAATTACGTTCTCAGATTTTCGGATACCTTTAAACAATGAGTTTTTTCAAGGCAAAAAAAATTCAGATGCAAAGCTTTGTGCTGTCTTCAACTAACTGAGGAAACATAATATCGTAAAATACTGATTTAGTTTAACTTTGGGCCAGCATAACACTGATTAATGCAATATGCAAAGTTACGGTCACTCTAAAGGAATAATTAAAAAAGTGCTAAAATTGGGTGTAAAACTCGAGTGGTAGCTAAATGATAAATATTCCATTATGCCCTTTGATCGAACTCAACACGGTTGGCGAATCACTGGTTTCTACACTAAGCTACCGATTATTTATTAGAGCCAAAAACAATTGATGAAGACGCTTCGTTTGATAATCACGATATTTCATTACTCCTGAGTTGATACGCACGACTCAAGAGATACCACAACTCACTTAATTACAAAAACCAAAATAAACTAGACAGACTAAAAAATATAGCGACGTATTTGTGGTTACATGATTACCACATCTGCACTATGGAGCAACTAACAATGTTAATAAATAAAACTCAAGCTTATGAGCATGGAAGGATACCACAAAATAATTGTTATAGTATAGCTGTTACAAAGTATAAGCGGTAATTCACTAATAAATAATTATTAAAACCCCATACTTTCCGTTTCCAATTTATGCCTGATGAAAGAGAACATTGAGTGCCAGAATTGGTAATAAACCCTAAACTGAATATTCTAGTACAGTTTTCTTTCACATTCGGATGTTCTTTTCACTGTTTCAGCTTTGTTTTTCACTCCTAACCGTGTATCGCTCCAAGCAATCCAAAAATTTCTGAGCGTTCGCGTTTATCAACTTTGCCGACATAAAAGTTTTCAGCTAACAAACGACAAACTCTAAACGTTATCAGCAAACAATCATAATGACTTCACAAACTGCCTTAAGATTGCATATCAAAGCTGTAAAAAGGTTTTTGGTAACCAAATCGGTCAAAGAGGGAAATATGTTTCTGTAACACTTACGCGATTAGCTAGGAACTCTGAAGATTCTTCAAGTAATTTTACGAACTTTTTGGTATACTCAACTAAAACCCATTTGCTTACGTCTACTGGGACAGTGTTTTCAACAAAAGCCTTGTCTGAAACTGTTTGAAGTTGTGGTAGCATTAGAGAATTGAGAAGATTTCCAAACGCATCCAGCAAATCCTCGTTTAGATCCGTCGTCAGAAAACTGACTTCCTATATAAAAGCAAAAGGTGTGAAATATACTTTGCAAATAAGCAGTGAAATAAAAAAATAATATCTATTGCTTGCTAAAACATTTAACATTGGTTACCCAATTACCCGTTACAAAGAAAAACCTACTTTGCATGCTGTTATGGAGCAACATAATTTTGAGTATGGAGTGTGTAACAGTTGTTCTGAACAAACCTTCACCTGATGTTTCAAATAAACTTTTAAAACTCAATGCCTTAGAGCTTAAAAATTATTTTTAAATCAAAATATCGGAAGAGGGAATGACAGAAACTTCCAAAAACAAGAGTTTTTACAACGTCTTATCACAGTAAAAAAATGGATTTAGTCACAACACAAAACAGCCTAATTTTTAAAGTACTAGATTCTAAACACTGATGAATTCGAAATGGGGTTATATATGAATCCTGCACTATAATGATAATCATCAAACAATATTATCAAAATAGAAGGCAGTTATTAGGTAGAGGATATAACCCAGAGAAAGTGAATGCACAAGAAGCATACGTATACAAATAAAATGCAAACAGACTATCCAGCTGAAGGTCTTCGACTAAACGTTTCCAATTTAGATGTAGTGCTTCAAACTTTTAAACCCAGATTGATACGTTTTGGGTAAAAGTACGAAAATATGAAAACCAAGTAACAGATAGTTAGCCTACTGCTGTGTAATCGTCTCAAACTGGTAGTTAGAAAGCTTTTGACCTGGTGTCATACATTTGTAAACATTTAAAATTGCTTCCCAGTTTTCGGTGGTTTCACTCGCAATATATTCTAAAAAATAGCTATCAGTTGCAACCAAAACCTTATATATGCACTTCATACGATTACTGTTAGCCACTTATTGCATCATTACACCGTCTCAACAACTAACTACACATATCACAGCTTTGGATAGAAATCCCGTCTTTTACAACCTAGTCACAATTTTCTCCGTTATCTACCAGAAATAATAAATAAGGACTATACAATCAACCTCAAATTTGGATAACGTAATTAGAAGAAGTAGATTATCTGAAAAATCTGATGTGTTAAAACAGCCTTTACAATTTTGTATAGAACCTGTCAGGGGCGTATACTGAAGTTTGTTGAGGCGCTAGCCATAAATAAATTTAACCCCCCATTGTGTGTGCGAAAACAGTTTTTCCTTATGTTAAGCCTACTTTGGTAATGCTTATTTCACCGTATTACCAAGATTTTCTCCAAATCTTATCCTGTTTTTCCTTCTCATTATCTTTCTTATTGTTGAATTCCTTTGTGTCATATTTTTTCTTCCCCGACTTCCAGTTTTCATATTTAATGCCTTAACAAGTAAATGTGTGGTCAGATTGTTCGAAATTTATAGCGCTAATATTTCACATTTTTCAGACAATCTACTTCTAATTACATTATCCAAATTCATAAAGGGGACTAATTGTTTCAAGTTCTTGAAAAGAAGGCTCCGGCCACACACTATCAAAAATCTAAATGAACTTGTTAGCCTCAAGTGTAAAATAGGAAATGGTTTTTCTCATGTGGATGGATCAGAAGTGAGAACAGATTTACATTGTTTCAACATGAGCACCTATGAATACGGGTTTTTCGTAAGATAATATAAAAATCAAAGTTATTTACTTGTCAAGGCAGTAAAGCAATGACAACAATTCACCCCTGTTCAATCAAACATAAACTGGTAACAAGAATAATAAATAACAAGCCGGCAATAGCGGAAAATGACTGTATTGTAAAATGACAAATAATCAGCGAAGAGAACTTTTTATTAGGGATACATTGCTTTGGTTATGTATGCATAACTGGTTTGCGGTGGTCTGGCATTATTGTGAACCGTAAGCATATACAAAACAACAGTCGGAATTCATAAAAAGGGACGCAGCTCATGGTGACAGTACTTAAGTATGACACGAATACATAAACCACTATCTGCACAAGAATAAAGGAGCAATGTGCTAAGTGTTTTCTCAACTTAACTTATACCTATATAATATAGCACATTTTTGAATGAAAGGAACCGTGAAAAGCTGTTATTCGCAACGGCAGAATTTTCACTTTTACTTCTGACAAGCAGTGAAGGGTTAGTATTAGGCGTGCAATTAAAAGAGGATCTAATGTTATTCAAAACAACGACTGTAACAAAATTTCTTCCATCTTATCATAAAATAATGGTAGTTCTTTAATTTATATAATCATATCTGTTGCAGCGTATGACTTAAAGCTTTCCTACAAACAGTAATTAAGATTTTTCCTTTAGGAGTTTTGAGCATTCTGAATCTCAAGTTTGACAACTGTTATTCTGAAATAAATAGATGTCAGTAAAGAGTATCTCAGAAAAGACACGGAAAATAAACCACGGGTTATCAGAACTGGCATTTCACCTAACGAGTTTTTAAATATGAGCTATGCATTGGATAAGATATTAAACCATAGGCTGAACAGGGTTTCTAAAAGCTTGTATGAGTTTCCCTAATAACATAAGTGTGAAATGTTTCCATGTTAATGCAAGTGTCCAGTAGATCTAAGTAAAATCAAAAATCAGATAAAATCTTGTGAAAATCCCAATGGTCTCATGCAAAAGGTAAAAACAATTTCGAGAACCCGTCCATACGCAAACAAACAATTACAAACGTGAATATTCAGATATTTTGTAGTAAAAGTGGAAAGAATTGTCATTTTATGCCAGCAAAAATAAAATCATTGGTCATCATAAAAAAACGACTTCAACAATTATGAAGCGTTTTGTAGACCTTCATGTAGTCTCAAGGAATTTAAAATCTAACTTCACTACCTTTGATATATTTTCCATTGTAACTTCAGTTGCTGCATTGACTCTCGTAAATATAACGCATGGCCCCGCATGGTGCATTTCAGTACCTGTGGACACAAAGATGCGCGGTCTAACAGAAACTTGTGGCCGAGTAAAAACACCGACCCTTTCATTAATATCTTAAAGCTGAAGTCAGTAACAGTATTCCTACCTGATCTTTCCGATTTAAGTCCAAATAACAAAGCTTTTATCCCCTCAGGGTCAAAAATTGTATTAATGAGATGAACCTGAAAACATATAGCACAATGATGGCCTTACCTGTTCTCCATCCGTAAGACAATCTATAATAAAACCTTTTTCCATCTTAAATTGGAGCGAAACCTTATCAATCAGAAAGTTATAACGACTGTCAATAAGTGCTTTTCTAGCCTCGCGGTCCAAACGTTTAGTTTCCTTCAAACAAAATAAACCAATCGTCTTAACCTAACAAACTTGTTTATCCCTTAAAGACTCATTGACTTCTGGTGTACTGAATCGGCTCTGTCTTCTTTTACGACTATCAGACAGCATATGCCTTGGTAAGAACAAAAAACACGTTTATCCCGTGTTTTTGAATTTGTAAACGCGTCAGTTTCCAATCGACTTTGTTCATTGAGAGGTAAAAACAAGAGTAGTGTGTCGTTATTTTTATTTTCCGCTAACTATTCATGTTTTATTATTCCTTTATTGTATTTTTCTTGATAGTGCGACTGTCTCACGGAAAAATCTATTTGAAGCTTGCAGAGGTACAGTTACTTTACAATATCCAATATTCCAATATTGATAGTGCCAGCATAGAAAACTGGTAGTTTTGATCTCTCGAGTCTAGTTCTTAGGGCTTGGTTCGAGTTGTTCGGTTCACTCCAGCAGTGGACGAGGAAATCCCCTCTGCTTTCTCGCTTTTAGCTTCGGTGAGGTGGATGTTTTGTGGGTTAGTAAGTTGTAATTTGTAGAGTGATTGGGGAGCTATAGGTTGCTGGGAAGTTTAGAGAACTGCCGTGACTCCTGTCTGTGTAGTTTCCTGAAAGAGAATAGGAATGAAGAGAGAATAAAAAAAGAGAGGAAAAAATCATAATATAGGGAAGAGGAGAGAGAAGGAGAAGAAAAGGAGGGGTGAAAAGAGAAATGAGAACGAGAGAAAAGTGTATGGGAATCGCGCGAATGGTCGCATAGGTTTGGTTCCTACAGAAGAATTAGTAGGTAATGTGGGTGTACTAAGGAGGGAGATAGTGATTGGTAGTTAGGGGGAGTCGGGGGGTAATGAGGTTGGTGACTACCTGAGTATGCCTGTGGTAGTCCATGCGAGGTGGCATACCGTCTAATCATCTCTTGAATGAGTCAACTGAAGGAGCTATAACGATGTGTCACGGTAGGGCATTCCATAAAGCACATACTCTTAGGTAGAAAAATTTGGACCTGAGTATGGTGTTGGCTCTCTGGTGTGCCATCTTAATGTGGTTTTCTCGTGAAGATCATTGGGTTGCAGGCAAAACTGATTTGTTTGCATGGTCTGCCTGATGGAGGATCTTGTATGCCATAATAAGATCACCTCTCTTCATGCGACAACCCAAGGTAGATAGGTTTAGGTGTTTAAGTCTTTCAGGATACGTCTTTCCCCTTAGCCCACAAACTGATTTTGTTGCAGTTCTTTGTATTCTTTCAAGGAGATTAGAGTCTCTCTTGAGTGTTGGAGGAGCCACCGTATTGAAGACCTCTAGATGCGGCCGCACGTATGATTTGAAAATGGTGAGGACGAGTCTTAACATTTTGCTTTCTCTGTGCAAAGCAAGCAACTAATCTTTTTCCAATGACAGTATTATAACCAGTCTTCAATTTCAAATCGCAGTAATTCTGAACTTTTTGAATCTTAATATGGTACCAGGGCCTCCCCAGTACCAATTTGGCGAGACGTTCCAAATCTAAGCTTATACCTTTTTTCAACTTTCCAGAGTATTTTTAGTGTTCCATTCGACTGAAAGTTCTTACCGAAACGACTGCTGGATAGAATATGCATAAATTGTAGTTTTTAGTTGACCCCTTCATGTTGGCATGCCATGTGGCACCTGCGACAGGCAGCTCAATAACGCCTGCATGTATCAGACACAAACTGTATATACTGAACTTAACAAGCTTGGCCAAGTGTGCGGATATCAACAAGACATCTTTCGGGACTACAATAACATGCTGATCAAAATCAGGAGAGAGAGATGGATAGAAAGTCAATGAAAACTGAGAAACCCAACTATAATATCTAACAGATAGGAATATGGAGTTAGATAAACGGTGGGTGTGCGGCTTCTCAAGTTATCCAAGGCGAGCGTGGATCTAGTTTAACTGATAACACGGTACTCCTTGGTACTGTGATGAAGTTCACAATCCTAAAGTCCTTCAGAAAGATCTCGGTAACTGGTGAAGCGAGAGATCAACATTTTTGACCAGTAGAGCTGATGAAAATAGGGTGTTAAGACCTGCTATGCAAGGTAAAAACGGTCGGAGTTTTTGCGTTGGTCAGATCGAATGGGCCTACGAAGGAGGGAGCTCGGTGAGCAACCATAAACGTGGTAAGGGAGGCCAACGGAAAAGCTTAAGTGAGGTTAATCGACCGCAAACTACACAAGCCGCTTGCAATTTCTTCAGAAAGGCGAGTGGTTTGTTCCAATGAACAGTCTGATCCCAGTGATCACTCAAAGCTGGATAACGAAGTCCACAGATCAGCCTGAATGGATTCTGACCACTCGTTTGTTCAGTAGCATAGTTCGCTAATTCGCAACACTTTCGCTTCAGAAATCTTGGCTGGGCGGCTCTCGGCGAATTGCTGTTTTCACCACAGGTGGGTAGTTGAAAAATCAGTCGACCCTCGGAAATGTCAAAGCGGACCATGCACTTCGTAAATCATTTGCAGAGCAGATAATTGCATCTGATGCAAATATTGATGAAGTCGTAGGAAACTAGAATACCCTGTAGCAGCTCCAAAACGGTTCCGTGGCGATGATAATTAATCGTGATCTGCTACGTAGCCCCACGGGAGTGATGGTAGCGTTCTTTGGGGAAATATAAGCAGTAAATGGAGGCTAATCGACCCTAAGCCCACATTCTGACGGGCACACACCTTCGCTCATCCGCAGTTAGGATGAACCCAGGCGAGTAGAGCAACAACTAAACTGGCTATCCAGCCAGCAAATTGGATGATGGTGAGTGCTCAGTGTGCACCCTCAAAGTGGTGACTATAAACCGCATCTGTGCAAGTGCATGAAGTTTGCTTAATAAACAGGATGTCACAGAAGCAAGTGAGGACACAAATGCTAATCTTCTTGGTATTGCTAAGATATCGGTTCCCCCCAGATCTAGGAACGGGTAGAGGTTGGGAAGTTCCAGAAGGACTTAACTTTAGTTCTTTTCTTACAGCCTATTAGATCCATACTTATTAACTTAACTGTTCCACGGAGCTTATCTGACAATTCTGTCCAAAACAACTCGTTGTTTTGCAGGAGTTATTCATGAATAGCCATCTGCAGACATCCGGAATGATAACCAAATGAAAGGTGCGGTAAGTTGCACTCCCACGATAGGGCATTCATACTCCAATTTTAAACCTTAACTTGCATGAGGTTAATTCTGTAGATCATACACTAAACTCCATGAAGCCTTATCCTTCAACTCTGCTCGGGCTAGGATTAATGCACAGTTTGTGATAATTAACACGAGGAAGGGGCATCCAAAACCTATCTCGCTTGAACTTTTTCACGAATGAAGAACCCTTGGTTGGTTACTTCACAGTTCTCCACCCAGCCGACCTCTCAGTGAGTGTCCATCCAGCCCCATACCCTCTAATGTTTCAGCCTTTCGAATGGATGTACGACCAAAGGACTTCAAGTTTGTCTGTGTCTAGCAAGACTCCAAGGTCCAATGAAGTTTCATCTTTTAAAAAATTATGCATATTATCCTCTAGTCTATTCCACTTTTGACTTCAGAGCCATGAAAATTCACCCAAAATAAAAAGCAACTCTACTTGCAGGCTGCTGGTGTCACAAAAACCCACCCGTCTAAACAGAAAAGACTTGTCGGAACGAAGACACTGAGAACCGTTTGGCCCCGACACTACTCGAGTACTATAAAAAAGCTTGCTTCTGGCCAGAAATATATGTTTCAGTATTCGGCATCATGCCGACAAACAAAAGCGGTAATGCCCAGTAATACCCAATGTGCTGCCTGGCATTGACACAGAAATGACAGAACTCTTCGCTGATGACCGGCCGACACATTTTTCATCAAAGTATTACGTATCCAGGACAACTTGAATAGCCACTGACTAAGCAGGACTTCTGATTGGTGAAGCGAGAGTTGGGCTAGTGCTATAATAATAATGTACAGGCACACATCATCCTAAGTTTCCTGCGTGGATCTAATCTGTCACTTGTCCGATCTCAGACGGCACATGCAGATATTATGCTTCAAAAGTGTCAGATTCAATGAAGCCACAACTTCTGCTGGCTAAACACTGTTGAGTCTTGGAATGCTGCCTCTCCGTAAGTGGCTCACGCTTTTGCATCTCAGCTCTCCGGAAGTGCACGTGACTCATGCTTAGGGTAAGCGCGCTAGCTTTATCACAAATTAGTCTCCCATCCTATCTGACCTCCATATCTCTATTTTTCCTTATTCTGTACGCAGACTGTAAGCCACAGGGACCTGTTATTCACTGCTCCTGTCAATTGAAGCCAGTTGAGCGAAAGCTCCTACTCCGTCCCCAAACGAGTGAAACCGTTTTAACGTATGAAATACACATTCCTTATCACAAAAATCATCCCTACCGCCAACAACAGTCTATAACAAGTGGTTTAGGTTTCAATCATACGAAGGTTGACCGAAACACAAGCCATTGTCACCCTGGACTTTGACACGTTTACTCCTGCCACTCTGCACGACCTGCAGCTCATTTTTGAAAAAGCGAAACACATTGCTCGTATGAAACTAGACTAATTATGTAGGATGGAATACTGGGCTGTGT